ATTAACGTAGCCTTTTTTATATGGCTCTGTGTGTTAAGTTTTAAAGAACCATAGGTACCCAAATTTCATTTTGTCCTATTTTTAAATGAAGAGAAAATGTCTGGTGGCTCTAAGATCTTCTTGCAGACTATATGATGTCTGGAGGAATGTCACTGACCATGGAATGGATGTGGTATCACGAGCACAGAGCTGGGTACAATCATATTTGTTCCTATGAGTGAAGATACTTTTTATTCTGCGATGTCATTTTTTTTTTGAATCAAACAGACACCCAATAGTCTTGTGGTTAGGTACAGATTTCTTTGCCTTTCTATGTTTACTACTGTTAACCTTTCCAGCACAGATCACATTAAAAAAACAAGCTGATTAGCTTTTCTGGGGGAAGAAGTAGAAAAGAAAAAGAAGCACAAATTCTCCCTTAAAGGATGCACATGAAAAACAATGTGGCAGAAAGAATGAAAGAAACTAAGAAAGCTTTTTAGGTGACATACTATTAGGGAGTTTATACTGTAGAATAAGAGGAAGCCTATATATTAATATGATATTAAATTCAGCTCTGTAAATAGCAAACTCCTGTTTGCAGGTGATTGAACTGTTTCTGAAGAGCACTCTCTGCGTTTATGGGGCCTTATAGGTAGCAATTGAGTTTTTTTTTTTAGGAACAGCCATCTCTTTTTAATAATCTGGAGCACAGGAATCCATCAGATATCAAGCACAAATATTCTAATCACAGTTTCTCTGATAATAGAAGTCAAGAAATGCCAAAGAGCCAGATCTTTGGCTATCGTGAATTGACAGTGGGTTCCACTGAGATTGCTTTCATTGTCAAGTATTAATTGTAGTTTCTACCATTGTTAGTTAAGAAAAAAATTTACAGTAGCTGGTTTTGGTCCTATGAAGGAATTGTATTCTTGCTGTATGCAAGGTCCAGTCTTGTCAACCTGTATTCACTTTGGCCACGTCTGCATGCATGTGCCACGTTGCCCACTTTTCGTCTTCATGCTGAAGATTTCAAGTCCTGCTGCTTTTGTGTTAATGCCATCAACACGATGCAAACCACAGTTCTGCAGTCCAGGCGTATAGGGCTGTACAAAGCCCAAGCCGAATCAATACTGCTTCTGTTGGGAAGCAGGGGAAAAGGTCTCCATATGTCATATTTCTAAGTGCTCAGTTGGCTTTTTCTAACCATTTCAAGCAGTTAATCCTGAAGAGTTCTGTTCTTTGTGTGTGCATGTGTTTTTGGTTTTGTTTTTATTCAGTTTATATGAAAGGTGTCTTTCAATTTATTTCTTGCATTAAACATTGTGTTCTTTTATTACTAGCTACACACAGGTATTAGAGATTACTATGTGCTTGTAGAATTCTTAATGAGAAGGACAACTGAGGATCAAAAGCTCCTAGTTTTGCATTTCAGCCTTTAGGGGAGCATACGTGCCACTGTAGTGAGAATGTATAAAGAAAACTGCTGTCCATCATCAAAGCCATTATGGTAGTCCATAGGTGGAAGACTTTAGAAGCAGATAACCTTTCCATTGCTAGGGTCTTTTCTGAAGAGATAAATAGGGAGAAATTAGCCATTATCAACAGACTGAAAAACAGCAGCTCCAGAAATCCTCTGCAAACAAAGACTGGGTCATTTGTAAAGCTGAGCAGCACAGCTGGAAAGAAGGCGGCTTGGTGGAATAGTTTGTCATCTTACTATGCCCTCGCATAGTCGTAATATGTTCACAATATGATTAAGGCTCAAGACTTGAGTCCTGGTTACTTGATATATTCATTTTACACAATATGAAGAGCTAAGCACTTGTGAAAGTTGGCGGGACTTACCCCAAGCTCTGGAACTCCAATTTATGTGAGCTAGAAATTCTTATGTGGCTGTTTGGATGTACACATTGTTGAGAAGTCAACAGAATTTCTCAACATAGGAAGAACTTGCAGGTTCTTACTCAAAATTGTTAAACACATCTAATAAACCTTTATAGCTCATTAGAAATCCTGTTTGTGTTTTGAATTTTACTTTAAAACTTGTGGTAAATAGAGCAGGCTAGATGAGTCATATTTTGACGATATACACAAACGCAGCAGTAAGTAGGAAGAAGTGGGATCAGCAGCTCCTCCAGTGCCTAAGTCCCTGGTGGCACCATGAGCCAGATGCTTCCCGTTTGAAGGACAGTTCTGAGATGCTTTCTCTTTGTTCCTGGAGGAGGGTAGTAAATGAATATTAACTTATAACTGCAGTACATTTAAAAAACTCTTTTTGGCTGAGCAGGACTGCAGAATAGATTTTTGATCCTCTCTGAATAGGGATAAGCGGACATTTCATCTTACAGCAATGAAATACCTCAGCCTTCAAGGAATCGTGCTTGCTGCATGTCTCAGAACGTCATTTGGTACATAGTAGTTTTGTATTTTAGGACTCCTGGCATACTGTTGAACCATGTTGGAAGAACTGAACCGCACAGACTTTCATGCACATCTTCTGGTCTGTCTGAACTGGATGCTATACTTTGTCCCTGCCTATGGCCATTTCTGTACCCAGAGGTAAACAGTCACGAAACTCTCACAGAAGAGTTATCCCAGCAGAGAAGAGGGAAAGCAGAAAGATTGTTCTAGATAGGGCAAACACTAGAGGATCAAGGTCAGCCATAATTATAGCTGTGTAGCCCTGGTGGAAGAACACAGAGAAACAGCAGCAGTGGTCGGGATTTAGTTAAATGTAATACTCTTTTGTTTGCAGTAAATGCAAGCAGCAAATTAAGCTCTGTTCAGGGGGACCAGAAACAGAGTGAAATGTTCTCCTTTCCTGTGTTCCAACATTAAGCGTTTCAGGCTTCCTTCACGAATGTATCCTGCAACTTGATCCAAAGTGTGACATGAATCCTTGCAGCAAATATCTTGGTAAGGCTTTTCCAGAAGCAATTATAATGAAGCAGTAGGAGAAATATTAGCTGGAAAATTAGGTAAGTTACTTTTTGTTAAGCAATAGAAGGTCTCAGCACCGGAAAAGGAGGTAATCAACTGCTTTATGCTTAATTTACTGTTAAGGTATTTCTAGAGACACATCACTGAATGATGGATCCCACTCATATCGAATGAGCTTTCCAAAGTTTATGGCTTTGCAACATAATCAGTCATGCTTGGATCTCAACTCCTACCAGAACGTCAGAATATCTATAGGGCTAACGTGGAATCCCAACTTTGAGAACTTGAGTTTTGTAATCTTTTATCTCATCCTCAAGATATGTCTGTTACCACTGTGAAGGATATTTTTGGATTGGCATACTAAACGATAGTAGAAGGTTTGTCAGGTCACACAAAAAGGGGAGATCTGAAAAGCGGGGCTCTTCAGGAGGTGGCTGATACAAGATGCGGTGCTTTGAAATGTTTTCCTCAATGATTTGAAAATAAATCGAAGGTTCCTACTGATTTTATCTGCGGGTTGTATGAGAACTAGGGAAATGGATAAAAACAATAAAAGATCCATTTAGAATGGTCTAGCAAGATGAGCACAGCCAAATAAAATAAATTTTGATTGAGCTGACTTCAGGATGATAGTCATGAAGGCCATGACTGCAGAGTGGGTGAGTGTATCCTGCATCTACACGTCAGCTTGCTGTGTAAACTGTGACTGAGACCTCTAGTGCATTTCTTGGGTATGTAAGTAGAGTAGTGTCTGACAGGACTGAGGGAATGATTTTTTTCTTTCCTCGTTCAGCTTTGTTGAGACTGCTGCTGGAGTACTGTGTATAATTCCGGAGTCCATATTTCAACACTCATTTCATAAAGTGGAGAAGGGGCAACAAAGAGCACAGTAATGATCATAATAGATGATCTAATGATTTATTTTCTCCTCAGTCTCCTAAGAATCAAGTCAGAGGAAGAAGCACATTTGTCTTGCAATAAATATGTTTGTATTGTAGTCCAGGTAAACATATGCTGAATCTCTGCCCTTATTCCTTGCAGTCCTGCGTTTAACTGTGCGTGAAGGGACGGATGTTTGGAGCCATTCTGTTCTCTGTGCCGTTGTCTAAGGCTAGGGAAGAAATGCGAGACAGGTAGCCTCAGCCACCACTGCGACTCAGGAGCTCACTGCACATACTCACCAGTGCAGGGCTCCCTTTATCCTGTCTTGGTGAATCACAATTACTATAGGGAAAAGTATTTTATTCGAGAATTACCGCTTTTGATATGAAAGAAACCTGTTCAGACTGCGTAAACAGGATGCCGCTCTTTACGTCATCATGGCAGCATGATATATGTTAATGCATTCATCTAAACATGCTACACAGCACTTTCCGTTTGAGAAGCACATCAGTTGCTTTGAGTATTTCATAAAGTATCAAGATACAACATCTCTTTAATTCCACCTTTGTTTATAAAGCTGTAGAGAGAGGCCTCACTTTCCATCTGATTAAATAATTTAAGAATAAAACAGATGCATACCTTTTTTTTGATTTCCAACTTGCAGGTCTGCTGAAAAAATAGTAATTCACATTCACCCTCTTATGTTGAAATGGACTTGTCTTTGCAGCTCAATATTAATCTCATTTCCTTCCCCCGGATCCATTCAAAAATTAAAAAGCGGGTTAATACGAACCATGGTTTGTAAATATTTAGACTTTTCTTACTCGATAGTGACAGTGGCCATCTCAACTGCAAGAACTGGAAAAAATGCACTGGTTTTTTTTACTGACTGAGTAGAAATCTAGTTAAAATAAAAAAATGCAGAGGTTACCCGCATTTTAACTGAAAAAATTATTCAGAATTTTTTGAGACAGGCTTCCAATTTTATACAGGTTGAGAGAAAATATGTTTCAGTGACAGTTATTGTGTGCTTTTATAGTGAAGGTGTTTCGGTAAACTGTGCTGGTGAAATAGCCCACGCTCATTTGAACAGAAGTGACCTATGACTCCTTATATGCATGTATTCCCTTTTTTGTCTTTCTCTTGCCCAGTGTCAATCATGAAGGATTTCATGTGATTAATGTTTTGTTTTCTAGCCGAAATAAAGATCTGTTTTAAATACTACCATGGTGTTAGTGGAGCCCTCCGAGCAACTACTCCATGTATCACTGTGAAAAATCCAGCTGTGATGGTAAGTTTAGCCCATTTCGCTGTTCATTTTATTTGTGTAAGAAGGTAATACTAAATATCAGCTAAACCTGTAGATACAAGTCTCCTAGTTTTACCATCAGCTGAAATTTTTACAAAAAATGAGATAGCCTGACCAAATCATCAAAATCAGGAAATGTTTTTATAAGTCTTGTATTTTTAATGATAAAAAAAGACATGAAAAATGGCTGAGTTTAGTTGAAATAGTTCTGCTAAAAATTTGACTTTACTTGCATTCAATTTTGAGGCTGCAGATTTAGTGTAATTTAACACTCTAGGAAAACATTTTTCAATGGTTATCTAACTCAAACGGAATCCTTATCAAAGTCTCCATTTCTTTTTACTGTTTGTTAATATTTGAAGTTAAGCTGTTGATGAGATAGCAATTATCACGTACTGACTTGACAACCCTCCTCTTGCAGAGATAAGTGAATTCTTTGAGTGTTCATAGAGCATTGAAATTTAGATAATTCTCTGTCGAGAGTTTTTGTTTCCTTATTACAGTTTCATTGTGGCATTTGTGCTTTTGAAATAGAGGATATTTTAAAGGAATTTTTTAATTGTTTAAAATAAATGCATATATTTTTTAACTGAACACATGCTGTTTTTCTAAGAGTCTTCCGAACTTGCATCCAGGTGCTTCTGATGAAAGTAATTTATTAACTAGGCTAGTAATTTATTAACTTAGATATTCAGCTTATGTAATGTTCCACAGTGCATTTGATTCATTGATGTTAGCTGCCAAATACGTAATACTACATCTGTCAGAACAGTGTCTTGACAACTACAGCGTTGAAGACACTGCGGAGCACAAGTTACTCAAGCTGATGTGCTTTTATTCAGATCTTTCCCTTCTACTTTCTCAGCATTGCGTGCTACATACAAGTGAATGTTATGGCTACATTATATTGTGTATGTTGTACTAGATGTTATATCTCAGTCTACCAAATGTTTGGTTCTTTCTGTTAGAACTGCTGTTCTAGTACTGTTATTTAATTGCCAGATCTCTGTCAGCTGACTATAAACAATGTGGGTCCGCAGCAGGCAAATGGACTTTGATATTTTGCATCAGACATTGTGCTACAATTATTGAGCTCGACAAGCACTACTTTTAATATTAATTTTTAAATTGCAACCTGGAAGGTAGCTATGTTTTGGAGGGCTCAAAGTGACCCTTACAGTGCGCTACTACTTGCTGCTGTATATTGTTACTGAGAAGCAGAATGAGTGCACTGGAATGGAGAAACCATTAAAACTCTTACGTTTTCTTGACACTGTTGTACTAGTCACCGATATTCTGGAAGTTCACTGCACAAAAGGACATCTAAACTTTTATCTTTCAATATGCATGGATATATTTGGGAGTTTCCTGAAGACCTGTCTTTCAGAGTCATTGCTCAGTGTTGTGTAGTTGACCGTGGATCACCTTTGGAATTTCTGTTTCCTTTGAAAGGCAGCAGAGTCGTGAGTGTTCTGCAGACTTGACGTAACCCTGAGGCTCCTGACAGAAGATGCAACGTTATGTAAACGTGCTTGTGCTAACAGTACGAAGCTCTAACGTTAATAGTGAGCTGTTAGTTTCCCTGATGAGAATGTCATATGAGAGCTCAGATGAGACTTCCTAAAAATTTTATGTTGGGTTAGTTATACACGAGTATGCCTATTATTAAATGTTAATATTGAACACCATTTTCCTATTTTCAGGGTTAAACTTCAAGTACTGTCTAATGGAAGATACTATATTCTCTTGGTATTGATCATGTCTGTTATTACAGAAACGTTGGTTGTGGTAAAAGAGTCAAGGCACGCCCGTGCTTTTCTTAATCTGTAATAAGTTACCTGTTTACTTGGATCTTTCTGAATTTTGGTATTACTTGGTTAGACGTTTGGTGAGAGCCAAATCACACCAACTATTTCAGTCCATCCTATGTTTTGGATAAGCAATTAACGTTTTAGCGTGTTCATTTGAACACTGTTCTGGTGGAAAAACGAGGTCTGATCTAGCAGTCAGGAACGCTACGTTTTCCCAGGTGAGCTAGCCTTTGTAGTTCAAAATTGTAAATATTTATGGTCAAATATAGGATCAAATTTTGAAACAGGAACAGAAAAATTGAAATTGCTGCTTGGATCATAATGAAACTGGAAAGCAGTATATTAGTGAATGGTGACACTGATATCTCTGAAGCAATGCCTGCTTTATGGGAGACTCCACTTCTGTGACATGGCTAGCGAATGGACTTATAATTTATTTTATTATAACTGAATCATAGGCAGTTATATTTTCTGTAAAATATAAAAAGTAATGATTAGCTATGTAAACAGTATTATTCATACAGTAACCTAATATAAACTGAGTCAGTGACTTAGCAGAAAAACATACATAGAATGAGGAGGGCCTTATTGTTGTGTATAATATTTTTAACAAGAAATCAGTACATGTTAAAATAAGCCAAAAAAGAGGGTACACTGAAATATGCATGGGTCCTATGACCCTGCACCTGCAGCCTGAGCCTCCCAGAGGGATTAGCCCCTTGTTGCTTCCCAGGAGTCTGAGCTTAGAATAGAGGAATGTGAGCTGGAATTAACCTGTTGTGGTTTTGAGGCCCTCCTGGTTTCCTCACCAACTGCTACTGCTTGGGTCTCCGTACAAGGTCATTCGAATAACGTTTTCATGCTCAGTGGGAAAGTGATAGAATTTGGAGCATTGTGGTGAGAAATGCTTTACCTTGAAAATGATGGTGAATCATGGATCGAGCAATGCGAAAGGGAAATAGGCTGGAACGTGAACAGTGTCACTTCCTGTCACAGTGCGTTCCCTCAGCAGCGTGCCCAGCCCCGGTGGGACGCCAAGCATCAGCGTCATCGCTCTTCCTTTAGCACTTGATTTGTTTGCCTGCCTGTTACACTAAACGCGAGAATTTTGCAGAGGAAGAAATTCTGCAGTATCAGTTGTTGATTATGCCCCAGTATTTATACCGATGTTGGTTCTGTTCTTTCAGTATGCTTGCTAATCATGGGAAGTATTTGAAAGTTAATGATATTGAATTGCTTAAAGCAATATAAAAGGGTATGGTTGCATTTTCAATTAATGCAGAGCAGCTTTCCTAACGATTTCCACATTCTAGTCTGGCTACCAAGTCTCCCCAAATAACTTCTAGTTCATCTTTTCAACAGCTGTCCAGATGCTAAATGTTACTTTATATACTTTATCAACATACGTAGGTGTACACATTTTTATTCGACTTAACGGATGAGATGACTTTCTATTTTATTCCTAGTATATATGTCCCCAGTGCGGTGTTTGGATGAAGCTTTGTCAGTAGACTCTAATCTCTTCTGTCTGGGAGTGAGTGCAGTGCCTGCGTGGAGAACCATTTTGCTTTTAATATAGTTCCATCAATGTTTTTATGTTAGATTTCTTAGCTGGATGCACATCTTCCTCTTGAAAAAGCAAATGCTTCTGTTAGTCATAAGAACTCTTGCTGTATATGTAGTGATAGGACATATTAATACATGAGAAACCTTTTTGGGGGAGGGAGAGGGAAGTAATACAGAAATCCCTCGTTAGGGAAAGCAGAAAAAAACAAACCTGAAAATCTTTGAAGCATGAGCGTAGCTTTTAGATTACATTCATGGTTAGATAATTGAAATGCTTTTCTTTCTTTAAAAAAAAAATGTATGTTAGTCTGTCTATGATCTCTTTGCTGAATCTTTTTTGTTGCAAAGTAAACTGTCTGTTTGTGAAAATTAGCAAAAGTTACACATGCTGTCACTGGCTAGATCATACTTTGGTATATATTACCAATTCGTACTGTTGATTAAGTTCAGAAAACCAAAATGCATAAGAAAATACACTTTCTTTTTTTTGATTAAAATAAGTCTCTTCCCATATAATAGCCTATGTATACTCTGTTCTGTTGATTCCAAGGATTGGTATGTTAACACCACATGGCATGAATAGTAGCTGTTTTCCTAGAAACAGAGGCTGTAACTTTTCCTATGGGTAATAGACAGCAGTTGGTCGGATTCTTCCCCTGCGTACTACTTTACAATTGCGTAATCGTTGTCAAACACGTATAAAAACAGAAGGAAACTGCTGGGATACACTTTACTTTTTCTCCTCTTTAGATGGGAGTAGAAGGCATGGATGAAGGTGCTTCTGGAACCCAGCACTCTCGGAAGTTAGTCAGCTTTACCCTGTCAGGTAAAAAGACAATTCTAATCTAGTTGTTGCAAATTACTTTTACAAAAAGAGAGAAAACTGTGTTAAAACGCTCAAAGACAGAATGCCTTTCTTTATTAGCCTCTCCAGGAATTCACTCTAGTGGCTTGAAGGATGTCATTTTAGGGGGGAACTTCTATTTGTTGAAAAAAATCCAGAATCAGGAATCTCCAGGGATTAAAGAAATAGCATCTTGGCGTGAGAAACGTGCAGAAATTTTTTCAGTCTGCCTAAGGGATAATTCCTCTCAGCGGCTAAATTTTCCACTCTTCAACCTAACTAAATTGCAAGTTTGTCATCCCTTTGAAGAAAGCAGTAAAAAAAGCAACGGCTGCAAGTGGTGGTTTAAAAAAATATATTTACTTGTAACAGAGAGAGCTAAGCTGTTGCTACTGCAAAATAGCTGAGGGCTACAGTTTAGCAGCCTCACTTGTTTTAATTAGCACTAGACCCACTAATGTTCAAAAAACAAGGGTAGAACTAATGGCTTTCAAAATATTTTCTTCGGAGAAGACCTGTAAGAGGAGATAAGGAAGCACTGATGCAGACAGGCAGAAGGTATACGAAAGAAGATACACGGAGGGCTTTGCAGAACACGGGCAGGATTTGATAGTTTTCTGTCACTGAACGAGGCTTCTAGACCCAAGGAGCTACGGTGACAGTGTCCTCATTCCCCTGTTGCTGTAGTTATGGTATGTAGGTAGTTATGCATTTCCTTTAAATTTCTCATTCCTTGGACTTCTGTCCTGTAACTGCAGAACAGAACCTGGAAGGAAAAAAAAGTTGTGAACAAGGCAAGTGAAATAATTTCTCTGATTTTCCTGCCTGTGGTATAATTTGAAAAGGTTATTTGAAATGTGTCCTTCAAGTCTTTGTTTAAATCACTTTAAGAAAATGTATTCGGATGAGCACGCTTGAAATTGTTGAGGATCAAATGATGGCAAACGATGATTGCTTCATAGCAGTCTCTAAAATGAATGAGGAAAACTTAAGTGAGCTGGTTGACTGAATGTTCCTGACTGGGTGCCGTTTATAAATCATGACAGTATATGTCATACATTATTAGTTACATTGTACAGTATATTACCGTATTAGCAAATCAGTGTGAAATAAGATTGTTGATGGAATCGAAAAATCATCTGCTTCACGCTTGGAGACCTTTCATAATCTGTGCTTGTGCAGATTGATACAAAATTAAATCAGGTAGATTCTTTTCACTGCTAGTGAGTCTTAGTTTCTTCGTGCTTGTCTCGCCTTTCATAGCTCTTGGACTGCCATGGGCCGTTTGACACAGAGGTCTGCCTTTGTCGGAAGTATCTCTGTGCTCTCACCTGGCAAAGGAGTTTCTGAATGGCTTTAGTTCAAAAATTATGATACAAAGCTCTGTGTGTGTTTGCGGTCATTGCACATACACAGTTGATGTTTTTAATGGGCGTTACTTTCTATTTCATTGTATTTCTACTACGCAGCTTAATTCTGAATATTAGGTAGTGGAGTTTTTTCTTTTGTTCTTTTTTGTTTAATAGTTTCTTTTACTGAATCCATAGGTGTGACATTTCATTTTAGTGCACTGAATTTTGCCTTCATATATAAATGGCTCGTCCAAGTGTATATGTTCCAATTGCAGCAGGGTCACGAAGACTGCTTGCTACCTGCTAGATTACCTAATGGAGAAAGGCATAAAAATCTTTTGCTTCAGCAAGCCTAAACAGAGAAATGTTTTACAGTTAGGTTTAAAGTCTAATATTTTATCAAAAATGCCCTCTTTCTTTTTGCTCTTGCTGAAGTTTGTGCTCTCATTAATGTCCTTAGGCATCCAACAAAGTCATTCCTTACTACTGCAAGTTGCAAGCGGTCACAGTACTATGTTTTCCATAGATGGAAAGAAGCATTTCCAGAAGACCTTGGCTCTTTTTGTGCAGGATAGTTTGTCTTCCTCAAAGCTGGGAGAGTGTGCGTCATAGTCCAGAGCAGTCTTGATAATGAATATTTGAAATTGTGTTTCTCAAAGTCTGAACTTTGAGACTTTGAGAAAGCATGATTTCACTGCATTACCTCCCATACATTTGTTTATCTTGGTCACTTTCTGTCATCCAGAAACAGAGCAAGTAGTGTGGTTTTTTTTAAGGCACGCTACTGTAGTACTGTAGTACTGAGAAAAACGTTTGTATGTAAGTTAAAAGTTCATGCTATATTTTCTGTTACAAATGACTGGAGGCCAGAATGTAAATGAGGATGTTAATACCTTTCCTTTCTGTAGTCTCTTGGAAAAACACTTGACTTCCTGCTTTAACTGTCTTCTGTGCACTAGTTACCAGTTACTGTACGACTAATGTTAAGTTGCTTTATTTAGTGGTTTATGGTAAATTGATTTCCTGGGTAATATTTTGGCAATATGCCACTTCTTCAGCTATTTTTAATTGCTCTGTTCTTTTTTTCTTCCTCCTTTTCTTGCTTTAAAGATATTAGAGCGGTTGGACTTAAAAAAGGCATGTTCTTCAACCCCGATCCTTACCTAAAGATGTCCATTCAGCCAAGCAAGAAAAGTACATTTCCTACATTTGCTCATCATGGTCAGGAAAGAAGGTCGACTATCATCAGTAACACAACTAATCCTATTTGGCACAGAGAGGTAATGTATGCCTTTTAAGAGCTGTCTGCCAGCTGATACAGTGTATGAGGCTTATATTTTCTCTTTATGCATTGGTCCTCATGGCTGCGAGTGTATTTTGTAGTAATTTAAAGTGACACAGAAATTAGAGTAATTCTAGGAATCCTGTTGTTGGACACAAACAGCTATCCATCTGCGTGTTTAAGCTCTGTGTTTAAGCTACACTGCTGTGAGGTTTTCATTCCCTTCTCTGCTAAACAAGAGTTGGAAGAATAAATTAATTAAAATGGATTATATGCTGTGAGAAGACTCTTTAAGAAAAGGTGCAATAAGTGAGCGTTCATACTCTGTGATCGCAACCACCGTTCATTCAGAAATGATGCTCTCATTGCGTAGCAGTTGGCAAGGTTTCTGTTTTGTCAGGCAGGGGATGCTCTTTGGTGTACTGCCTGCGCTGCTGTAGAAAGGAAAGCCCAGGAAGGAATTACAGCACCACCTAGCAAGAAGAAAAAAAAGGCAGCTTGGCAGAAGGCACTTTTTGAGATTTGTCTGTAAGCTGAGCAGGTTGCAGAGAGGGAACTGGAACAATGCAGTCCCACAACTGTCTTCAACACATGAGCAAAGCTGCGTCTTTGAAGAGAAATGGTTATGTGGGAAATGGTGTTAAAATAAACCCCTCCTTAATGACAGAAGTCCATAACATTTGAGGGCTGGTGAGTGGGCTTGGAGAATGTTTCCACAAATTATAATCAAGTCAAGCAAGCACTAAAGCAGAACAGGGCAGGGCCAGCATTAGCACTGCTTCTTGAGTGCTTGGTTGTGAGAAAGACTATAGATTTGTGAAAGACTTCAAAATTTGAGAATTTTAATTTCTAAATTGATTCTTCCTCTTTCTGTCTGTTTCTCTATCCGTCCATCCTAGTAGACAGTAGGAAAAAAAATCTACTCGTATTTTCCCCCATTCTTCTCCCCCACTCCCTTGGTTTTGCAGCTTTATTACAACAATGATAATGTTCACTGGAGCATACATTATATCATCTTGCTTTAACTGCTAAATCTTCCCTGTAGCAATGCTCTGACAGTACCAGCTTATGATCCTGTTACACGTGCTGGAGTAGTGATGTAGAATTGATCCTTTTTTACATCTGTTCCTTTCTGCAAAATGATATGCAATTTTATAGCAAACAGAGTGCTAAATTTTAAGTTCTGTTTATCACGAGAACCCAACCCTGCCAGTTTCGCTGCATGAGAAAGTGGTGTTATTCCTGACCCAAATTAATTACTGGTTTTGAATATGTTTAGTTGATGTGTATAGTGGAGCTGAAGGGTTATTTCTTGTTTTGTACCCTGTTCAATACATCTTTGGCTGTCCAGCTAGATGTGTATTGGCCGCTATACTGAAGCTGTGATTTGCTCCGAGATCTTAAAAACGCAGGATAGCATAGGCTTTTTTGAGTAGATTTTACCCATACTTTTTAGTTTGTTTGAAACATCTCATCCAGAGGGGAAAAAAAAAAAATCTTTGGTTTCTAAACCTGCGTTCCTAAGGGAGTTTGTCAGCGTGCTCTCTCTGTATGTGTATGTGTGTGTGCACGTGTGCGTGTGCACTCATATACCTGCTTTTGTACCACTTTTGAATCTTCTGGCTGCCTTCAGTCAAGTTTGACAGAGCAACACACATCTCAAGGATGAAGTATTCATAAATTTTGTGAAAACGGATGTTAGGTTGAAGGTAGCGACTGTTAATAGTGTTCCCTCTGAAGGAAAGGTGGGAGAGCGACTTCATTCGACATCAGGAGATCATTTATAAAGTAGCACTGTTTGGTATAAATGCCTCAAGTGCAGGAGAAACTTTGACTGAAGCTGAATGCCTTTCATGGTTCACTGAGAACGTTTGTGAACTTTAGATCAAAAATCTACATAAAATTCTGCTCCTTTAGTTCCAGTGTTCACAAAAATACTGTGTTTCATTATTATCCTACAGTGTGTGTCTGACTTTGTCTTGTACACAAAAAATTAACTCGGCAGCAGTGTGGTGATAGAAGGGAAGTTCTTGAAGCGCAGCCTGGGAAGAGACGCTTTCCTTCTTCCCCCTGCACTGACACTGCTACTTTTCTATTCCTTGGTGAGAGTACAGTGAGGATTGCTTCTGCTTTTACTTTCTGTCTAAACTGAAGCAAGCATTAGGATACGTTGGTTTCTCCTTTCTGGCATGGACCAAAGTGCTTTCCTGCAATGCAGTTTTTTCCTGAGCACTTATTTTTGAGGAGCAGTAAAGGCAAGGGCTTTCTGAGAGGCTGATTATATGTGCAGAAGTTCTTACAGTTCTTACTAAATGATGTTGACGTTGTTCTGCGGAATGGAAACTGCTGTGCTCATCAATTGTTGCTTTTGGAGTTCACTGCAAACTGGTAGTAATTATGTTCATACTTTCCGAATAAAGAAAGGTATATTGATATGGTGTCAAATATGTTCTTTCCTTCCAGAAATATTCTTTTGTTGCACTTCTAACAGATGTCCTGGAAATTGAGGTTAAAGACAAATTTGCCAAGAGTCGTCCAATCATCAAGCGCTTTCTTGGGAAGTTAACCATACCAGTTCAGAGACTACTGGAGAGACATGCAATTGGGTAAATTACACTTCCATTGCTAACTTTCACTGATCAATGAGACTCAACATCTGGGGTACTGGCACAGAGCAGCCTTTCCCAGCTAATTCTTTACACACCTATTGAATCTGCAGTAGGAAATTTAATAAATAACTTTACAAAGAATATGTGACCTTATTGCCTGATTGGAAAACATGTTTCTTGGCCTGCTCTGAGTGTATCCGTGTTTGTATATACATGTGTGTGCAGTTTTTTTCTAACTTAGTTTCTTTACACAAAAAAATTTCATCTGTGGCTAACTAACCCAGAAGCAAGGCACTGTTTATCACAGTTCTATACAATTGTGTGCAAATTTTTTAGAACAAGCAGAGTTTGTTGTCTCACTTCTTTTACACTTAAAGCATTTTTAATTGTCAATTTAATAATCAGAATTTTAATATCTATTCAGCTAAGTGGGCAGAACTACAAGGCAGTGGCTGGTTATTTTTCAAAATGTTGGTGATACTACACCACTAAAATTGCCTTAGCAACTGTGAACAGAGCGCTGATGGACCTCGAAATTAGTCTGTTGTGCTGTTTTAAGAAGTTTCTGGTGGTTGTTGTTGGCGGCGGCTATCCGTAGTATTTCAAAGAAACAAATTTTTGAGATTTTGAAAGGGTGTTTTTAGGGTGTGTTCTGTTTTTATTTTTTTTACTTCATGGTGGTCACTGGAAGGGATCACAATACAGTCAAATGTATGATCAAATTGGGCTACAATGTGTACTGAAAAGAGCCCGAGACTTCATAGTTAGGCACTGTGCTGTATTGGTATGAAGCAAGTGGCTGGAGGAGCAGAGATGTGTGCAGAAGTACAATTTTATGTTTAAGAAAAAGCAATATTAGGCAGTGTCTTATTTTGCCAGAACCTTTTGACCTTTATATGCTATATTTGACAAATTAGGTAGAAAAAATAATTCCTCGACAACGGGAGGAACTGAATTGTTCAAATATGTTTTGTGTAGGCCTAACTCAAAGTCCACCAAAGTTAATGCGTCTCTATTAACTTTAATTGGCCACAGGATGAGGCCAACAAGGAACAATGGAGAAATGCTTTCTTCCTTGAAAGTTTAAGGGCATGGCAGTAGCATCACGTTTTTGTACAAAAAGCAGGATATAAACAACTGGCCTCCTTTTTCACAGATATTCCCATCAAAATAACAAGTTGCATAAATGGAGAAAAGCAAACTCAATTTGAAAACAGTTTTCAGCTTTAAGTTTCCAAAGTGGTGGTTACACTGGTAAGTAAAATAAGAATGAAATTGTAAGAGTAGCTTAAAATTCTGATGGTGTCTTCTAATAACAGAATTTGTTTAAAAAATAAAAAAGCCTGCCCATGTGCTTTCTAATGGTATCCAAGTGTTCAGGTGTACATACAATCTAACTTTACTAAGAAATGTTTCATCTCTGAATTTCAACAAATTGTTACAAGTTGGAGCATGGAGCTTTTTCTAATAAATTTGCACACTGCTAGATACTCAGGAACAGCGTGGTGATCGAGATTTGTTTCAAAATCTAGTTCAGGGTGTTCATTTCCATGCTAAATCCCCAAATGTCTTTCTGTCCTGGGATTCCTTGTGGTGTGAAGTCTGGGGTTTACCTACCATGTGCTCAGTTCTTTTCTATGTCCCCTCTCCCCTCGTCCCCCCAACAAAAATTCTGGAAGACGTTTTGTGCTCTCTTCTCCATACTTCAGTTATGTATATTTGATAGATCCGATCTCCAAAAAAAAAGGGGGGGGGTGTATAATAAATATGTAGGAAGAACATGGGTAAGTATTTGGTTTGCTTTTGTCATACTGCTGTTAGAGGAGACTTTATGCAAGTCTTGCAGATATTTTTGCTTTTCTCTGTAATTTATGCCTTTTTACATTTTTTGTGTGCCAAGCAGTTTATAAGCGTTCCATTTTCCTAGGTATCCTAAAGACAGACAGTACTTTAGCCAGAAACCTTGTAAAGGAAAAGAGTGGGTAATACAGACATGAAGTAGAAATGAACCACATAGGCAATCAGTTGCCATCATTCTTTTATTTTATTTTTGGTCAAGCAGGTAAAACAATTTTGCTGTCTTCCTTTTCACTGTGGTGACGTTAAGGACAACTGAAACCCTCTGCTGGGACAGGCTAAAGCGTAAACTTGAAAAGATTGCATGAATGAAATCCGAAAATTAGTATACCATGCACTTAAATTGCCCCTCCTTGTATTAATGATTAGTATTAATGAAAAGGTGAAGTCTGGAACCAGCCAGACTGAATCTATCTTCAGATAGATTGCGCTAGAATTCAGGCGTAAATTTAGCTGTCAGAAGAGCTCACAAGTTTGCATAGTGAAATGGCCAAGCGGCTTTGAATTTTATAGTTCATTCTCATGCTTGTGCATGATATTTTCTAGTATTGATTCACTAAACCCAGAGTAGGCATTATTCATTTCATGGCCTGCTCTAATCTCGATAGGCCTAGAGTAATGTAAAGCTTATACAGACCTGTGGAAATCTCAGATGGCAATCTTCTGAGGACACCCCACGTCTAGCTGAAGAATTGTAACTGGAGTACGGAGCGATGAGTCTATGACACAGATACCGCAAACAGTACTGCAGTAATTTGCACTGTGGTCTCTAGAGCATCCTGAGGAGCCTGCTTTGTCTTAGGTTGTCTACTCAGGACTTTTTTCACTAAAAGCTAATGTTTGGATGCAAACTGCTGCCGCTTGTTCGCATAATTACCTTGCACAACTTTGCTTACAATGAATCATTTTCATTTATGTCATTCATATTGCAGTAAGAATGGTCCCAGTAGAGAAGAAATGTTTATTCCAGTATAAATGTATTTGCATAAGTAGTGATAATTTCCCGGGAAGGTTTTCAAGAAGACTCTCCCTTCCCCTCAGCTGTCTCAGCTGAGCTGGAGGGAAGCGTGGGCTCTGGATTCTGGCTGTGCCAAATAAGAATGTATAGCCTAGGATCGTATCCTAAGTCCCAAGCTGATACAAGTGCGTAATCAAGTCTGAGTCCCACTGAATTCAATAAAATATAAGCACATATTGGAAGTTAAATCCAAGCTTTAAAAGCTTTGCTACACAGGAATGTGTTTAGGCAGAGGGGTGGTGAGTGCTTTACTGAAAGTGGAAAAAAAATAGCTAGGAATTTTGTATACAGTAAAAGCCACAAGGGGGCACAATGTTTTCAAAAATGAAAAGCTTTTGTTAATTGCAAAATATAAATGTTTTCATTTAAGGGAGGGAGGAGGTAGGGGAAAAGGGTTCCTTTACAGCTTTGTTTCTTTTGGAATTAAGAACAAGTCTGGGGATGTATGAGAATTTCTGTGGCACAGTCTATATTTGGAAATGATAAAAAGTAGTGCGTCAGGCTATTTTATCTGTTAATTAATGGTATTTTAGGGCATTGCTGGTTTTCATCCTTCTCCATACAAGCCAGAATATGAGGCTAATTTTAAGAGTGCAAGAGTAGTGCATGCTGACTCTATCTGATAAGAATATCTGATATAAAATATTGGAAAAATGAAACGGTTAAAATTATAAAGACCAATATCTTTGTTTTTGCAGAGACCAGATTCTCAGCTATAATCTTGGTAGAAGGCTTCCAGCTGATCATGTAAGTGGATATCTCCAGTTCAAAGTGGAAATCACATCTTCTGTTCATGAAGGTGAGAATTTGTCAGTGATCTGGGTCTTTAGATAGTTGTATAGAGATAATTTTGATGGTATTTCTCTTTCTAGGATTTTCTATGGTAAGTAATTCTCATTTGTGTACAGTGCCTCTGTATACAGACTTTTCTAGCAGGAATCAAATTTCAGGTATTCCAAATGCTGTGTTGGAGATGCTGTTGCTAAAATACCTGTACTTATCCTTTTGTTCTTCTCTTTTATTAGTTATATTTTAAATGAATGTGCTTATTATTCTCATTTCATGAGGTCGATTACATAATCTGATTCATTATTTCTGATCGCTCTGTGGCACATGCAGTGGCTACCTTCAGCTGAGATAAAAAGTTGCAAGTGAGATTTCACCCTTGCTCCCTTCCTCTGCTACCATGCATGCAGATCAAGCTGTCGCTTCCCCCTTTTACAGGACTCTGTCCTGCTCAGAACTGAGAATATCTGCTATGGTTAGGAGAATACAAATTTCCATTAGGCAGATCTTTTATTTCCCCTTTTTTCCTGTCCTGAAGGCAAGAAGCAGAACATTGCTACTATAGTTGCACGTCAATGACATACTGTATGTCTTTTTAGGTCTTCATGTACTTACATTCTACTTCATTGGACGTGTTAAAATCTTTCTAGTAGTGATATATTGCCCTATCTTTTAACTTTATGCAGCTTTCCTTGCCTTGTTTGTAGCCATGTGATCCTGTATCTCATTAATTTTTGCTCTGTCACCAATAAAAAACACTCTTGTATTAAAGCATGTTGGTTGCCAGCCATTCTAGTTTGCTGATTTCATTTCTAAATTTCTTGCACAGATGTACAGACACTTACAGCTGGATTATTCAACTCTGTGTCTTTAAACCCCATGTGGGGAATTATTCCCTCTCTCAAATGAGATGGCTTACTTTCATTTCCCTTTTATATTTATTGCTATGACATACTTAGTACAGAATGATCTTTCTTAGGTGAATTCCCATTCTTTACGGTGAAAATGTCCTGTAAACTAACTTACAACAGTTGTGGATAGAGTTTGTATCTGCATGCAATTTGTGATTCCTCATGTCATTCCTCATGTTTTTCTGCAGATGCTTCACCAGAAACCGTGGGCACTTTGCTGGGAGTGAACTCTGTCAATGGAGACTTGGGGAGCCCCTCTGATGACGAGGATGTGCCAGCAGGACATCACGATACGTCTACGGTGTGTTCCAACGGGCCAGTCCTCGAGGAATCTTCTGGAGAAGCAATCCCCAGACACCCTTTAAGGACTAGTACAACTCTGGAAACAGACCAGGATGAGTTAACCTCCACTGCTTCAAGATCATCCCCTACCAGGGGTCGCCAGGACTCACTGAATGACTATCTGGATGCAATAGAACACAGTAATCATCCCAGATCTGGTACATCTGCCTGTGGTGAGCGTCCCCTTGGAGCATCCCCGAAACTGAGGAGCAGCTTCCCTACTGACACAAGACTTAATGCTATGCTTCACATTGACTCGGATGAAGAAGAGCATGAGCTACATCAAGAGCTGGGTTTTCCGTCTTCCTTGGAAGATGATGGTGGTTTAGTAATGCTTAATGGTGCTACAAGAAGTGTTGAAAGAAATGGTTCAAGTTACTCATCAGATCAGGTAATGCAAGGGCCTGCAGAGAATGAAAACGCTTCAGCCTCTGAAGCTCCTTTGCAATCGACTGATGACCAGCAAGAGACTCTCCAAGATTTTCAACCATCACGTGAAAGCCCACAAGGCTCTCAAAGTGAAACGCCAGCAGAACAGCCTGGCAGTGAGTTGTGTGCTGCTCAAGAGGCAGAGCAACCTCCTAGCAGTGCGGACTCAGGAGCTCCTGATGCTGCTGCTGGGAGCAGAAGAGGTGCTAGTGAAACAGAATCCATTGATCAAGGGTCTGAGCCTTCCCAGGTGTCATCAGAAACTGAGCAGAGTGATCCTGCTCGCACAGAAAGTGTCAGTGAGGCTAGTACCAGGCCAGAAGGGGAGAGCGATGCGGAAGGGGCAGACAGTTCTTGCAATGAAAGCGTGACTGTGCGACGTTCCTCAGTTGAAATGCGATGTTCTTTTGAAAGTGCCAGGTTTCCTGAGACTCCAGCCTTTTCTTCTCAGGAAGAGGAAGAGGCAGCTTGTGCCACTGATGTGGCTAGAATTGAGGCTGCTGCTGACACACAGGACTCTACAAGTACTTCTGGCTCTTTGCCTGCAGTCCAGGTACCTCAGGAGGAGGTACAGGAGGCTGATGCAGGTATATTGCAAGACCAAGAGGAAGCAGAAGAAATTTGGCAAAGAAGAAGTGGCCTGCAGGCGGCAGCTGCCAATAGCCAGTCTCAGGATGAAGAAAATGAAGGAGCCCAAGCAGCTTGCGAGGGTGCCACAGCAGAAGTTGAAGGAGCTACTGGAGGTAACATCTGCAGGAGGCGCTTTCTGAAGTGGCCTGCCCTTTCTGCAGCCGTTGAAAATTATTTAAAAAATGAAAGACTGCAAATAAAAACCTTAGTCTCTCAATTGTCATTATCTTTCGAGATTTTTTGGTTCCCTTGAGGTTTATTTCTTTGTTCAGGAGACTGGGGGATTTTAAAGAGAGAAGAGAAAATTCTTTTTCAAAACCAACATATCTAAGATGTGTTTATTTTGAAATTGGAAAAATTTAATTTTTGAGAGAGTAGTGAGAATGGTGAAGAATTCTGCAGTATTACCCTTTTGGTTAATCAAAAAGGTAATGAGGGGAAAAACAAAATCTAGAAACTGTAAAATACAAAAAAGAATTTATATTTGACTTTTCTTTGGATTGTTTGTGGGGTGAAGAAAATACATATATGTTTTAGCAAAAAAAAGGGAAAAAGAATCAGTTGTTGGTTGCACTTCAGGCCGATTAGCCTATCTTTTCCAGTTCCTCATCTATATAGACGCATCCTAGCACAGCTGGAGCCATGAGAGGAGAGGAATGAATTACTTGTGTTAGCCATATAAAAATTTTCACTAGTTGTACAATTATTTTATAAGTTGAGAATTTTGTGTCACTAAGTTCACTGAAAATAGAAATGTGTCCACAATAGATCATTCCAAGCACGTGTCACAATGGAGTCCATCGTTCCCTTTCTTCAGGGATTGAACTGGATGTTGTCAAGTGGGTGCAATCAAGTAGGATTGTGGGATGCACCTTGTTGATAATGTTTCTGAAGTTTGGGATCGTTTCTCTGTCCTTGAAGTTCATTCTGTTCCGGATACATTTATAGTAAATAATCTCTGCCATAAAAGTTTATTGAAAATAAACAAATAATCCTGAAGAGCAAATTATTTTTTCAATTTTGAGAGTGCCAAATTGCACCAGAAATCTCAGGGAACAATAGTCTATAGTCTGTTTAAAAAAAAAAAAAAGAAAAGAAAAATCTGTTCCTGCTTAAATCATGGAAATACGGGGCAGATCTTATTGTCTGTTGTTTTATCCAAAGGGACTGGGGGTACAGCGTATCTATACTTTCAGCCTACTGGGTGTGTACTTTATGAAGCAAAGTGCAAATTTTTGTAGAGAAATTACTTACTGACTTAGTTTGAGGAATGCTGTTTACTTCTGTATTGGTTGTAGTCATAAGCTTTTGTCTGGGAGGGGGGGGAAATTAAGTCTTTTTATTTGTTTCCTTCATAAACAGCTCTTTGATTTAGAAAGCATAATTCTGATATTCCTTATTAAAATCCTGTCAATAAATTCCTTTACATGATTTTTCTAGACATTAAGGGACCTTTTTAGTAGGTGTCACATTGCATCACGTTTTGCAGATCAGCGTAGCTGCAGCAAGGAAGGTCATTGGAATTTCACCTTTGCCTCTTGCAGCGGGTTTCTGCAGTGATCACCCAGAGCTTTGTCCCTTGCTAGGCCGTGGTTCAGGCACACACTGCTGTTTCTGTGCCTCAGGTTCTCTTGGTCGTAGAAGGTTGCAGCGTGTCCCAAAAGGTGACGGTTTCAGGATTAAGAGTGGAGAGTATTAGCCTTTGCCTAAACCATAGACTTAACTTGTTTTGCCTGAAAAGCCAGATGAGTATTAGGAGTATCCTAAAATGTGGTAGTTGTACAGAAGATTTAACACCTCTTACTCACTTTAGAGAGAACTCCTGGGGCTTCCCCACGCTGATTGAAAAGTAATTCATGGGCGTTTTGATTCTAGGTGCTCAAGCCAACGGCCATCAGCCCTTGAGGTCGCTGCCTTCAGTACGTCAGGATGTTAGCCGGTACCAGAGAGTGGATGAGGCTCTACCACCAAGTGAGTTTCTTCATACTTTAATTGGGGTATGGGCTGCTTAGATCTCAGTACTGAGATCTCATTACGTTTGTTTGTTTGTTTGTTTGTTTGTTTATGAGAACGGAAAATGGACAACTGAGAAGCTCTCCGTAAGGAATGATGATGAAGTCTAGGGTTGTTTTGTAAAAAGCATTGTGCAGTATCTGCAAACTATCAGCATGTGTTAATGAAATTTATACCTGATGTATACAGACTTTATAAGTGAAATTTGCAGAGAAATAGGGAGGAACGATGCTGCCTCTTCGGCATGCACTGCACATGAGTAGGGAGGTGAGGAGGAGGCTGCATGAGGCACTCTGAGGGAAACACATCAAGCGCTCTGAAAGCTATGAATACTTCACGTATGGTGGTGATTTACAAAGAGATATATATTGTCTTTCTGTCTCCTTTCCGCAGATTACATGAAAGATGTCTGTGTTTATCTGCCTTTTTTTTTTCTGAGACAGAGTCAAGACTTTGAGTATAAAATAAACCTGAGTATAAGCAATTGTTGGATGCTCCTCAATTGGCTGAAAATAGTCATTTTCTGTTTTGCTAATACATATAGAAAATATATCGTTCCCAGTTGTTGGACAGATGCCCTAGGCTAAACCTGAAGCAGTGATACTCTAACCAGTATTAGATATGTAAAGAAAGGACCAAAAAAAAAAAAAAAGTTGCACAGCTAATAGAGAAACATTATGTTTAAAAAATTCCTAGGCAGGCCCATTATTAGCTTCCGTTAGTCTAGCCTATACCGCTCCTAATTTAGTGTACCTTACTGCTTTAGGAACAAATAACGGTTTTGAAGGCTGTGATCATTAGCAGAAGGGAATGCAGTGAGTGAAATTCAGACCCACTGAAGTCAGTGGCAAAGCTGTATTATTTTAAAGGAGTCAGGAGTTCAGATATTTAATGTAAAATGAATAGATTCCAGTTTTGCTGTGTGGAATGTGATTGTGTTTAATTTGTAATTAAAGAAGGAAATTGAAGGGACCCTGGTGTCAGAACACAGATATAACTATCTATTGAAATGCCAGGGTGATGGGAAGACTTTACTTCCTGCTGTTTTGGTAATAAGCAGTTTGTATAACAGCTTAGATCTGTTCACAGATCCCAAAGTTCACTAACTACCGCCTCAGAAAACTAGTATTGCTTTTTACAAATTATGCCTGGGAGAAATATGCTTCATTTTTATTTTTATCACTTTTCTTACTGAAAAAGACAGAATGTTATGGGAAATACTCAGAGATCAGGTGTAATAAATTAAAAACCCGTAAGGTGTAATAAGTTAAAAATGCATACAGATGGCTTTTAGAGGACAACGGTTTATACATGGGTTTCAGGAGCCTTTTGGGTTTCAGAAGCAAACTATGCCCTATAATAGCTACTTGGAAGAAGTCACAGAAGTCTTGGAATGTTAGTCAAAAAGGTTTGGCTGTGTGGCCTTCCAACATCTCTGTGACTTACTGGGATTTGAGAGAGTCACACACAGGCATAAAATCAAAGCCTAACGCCATGTTTATGGCCTAATGCCAATGCCATTTGTCTGCTAATGTGAATAAAATCTTAAATACTAATTCTTACCTAGATTTAGTTTTTCTCTGTGAAACTCTTACTTTGGATATGTAACCATTTTTATAGTGTAACATCAGAAAAAACATTTAGAATTTGATTTTGAGTTATAGATTGTAATTTCTGCATAATCTGGATTGTATTCTGTTCCTTGTTTCATCAGACTCTGAGACAGAGAAAGAAAAGTAGGCTTATTTCTTTCAGTTTTGTGTAGGTTAAGTTAAAGAACATGAGGGAGAACTGAAATATTCATCTAGTATGTCTGCCTACAGCATGCAACTTCACAACATGCAGTTTATGCTCTGCTCTAATTGCTGTGTTCCTAGGGGAAAGTCAACAGATCAGAACAGCTTGACTGAACAACCTCAGTTAATTACAATTTTGCAATTCATCACTTTCAAGTTTTTGAAAATGAGGTTCTTTGTAACACATTTGACCAGGATGAGTAGCAGAAGATAATCCTTCTCTGTGACAACAGTGATGCAGGTGCTTGCAACTTTAGAAGTCACCGCTCAAGTGTTTAAACTTGCGTGTTTAGCATTGATTGAAGACGAAAATGCTTCTCTGAGTCAAGATCACATAGCAGAAATGGTGACTATGTGTCAGAATTTGAAAAATCTCAATAAACATACGATGTCTAAGGGTTTGACATCAACAAAGTAACGAACTCACAAATTTAAACTATTTTTCTTTTTTTTTATTTAAAAAAGACATTCCGTGTATTTTTACAATGGACAATTCTATACTTGCCCAGAATACTTCTGGTTTATTACAAGCTCTGATTAAATGTTTTGAGTGAGAATTTTTGGTTCACCAGAAGATAGTACGTTTTGGATTTCAGCAGAAGTTGCTGCTTTTTTGGAAACGGGAGTTTTGCACAGGAGCATCTATTTCAATCTTTTTTTTCTTTAGGAAAAAAATTGGAAACCATTTTCAGAGGATGTTGAAACATTGAAACGTTTGTTTTTTAGCGATAACAATTGCATGTTTTTTGGTTAGAATAACTTTGAAATGTGCTATATTTTGAATAGCAAATACAGTAATCAAACCATAACTTTTGCATTGATAAAACTGTGTTTGTTTTGAATTTTTATTTTTAATTGACAATATATTTCAAAATTTTGGATTTTTGTCCAGATTTGGAAGACATCAAAATACTCTTTTCCTCAAGGGATATTGGAATTTGTTCCTTTAATCAGCTCTCTTTGTTGCTGTTGTGAGTTGTGTTGCTTTTTATTTTTTTCCTCTGGGTTTATTTACTGCATAGCCCTTGTGCACACTAATAATGCTGTAGACACTAGTAAACGGTTTTAATTGTGCAGCATAAAGATGGAAGAGTGATTTGTATTATGGCCAGCTAAAACATACAGCTGTCTTGCGGGGATGACACATTCAGTTTATTTCAAAACCTTCCTTTCTGCCCTCTTTGTGACTCAACCCAGCCCCTACAGCGTAATGTGGTGAGCCACTTGGCTGCCTCCAAGAGTCGACAGAAGTCATAATGCACACAGTAACAAAGCCTGAGGTTTTAAGGCTGTCAGTATTAAATGCTTCACAGCAGAATTATTTAGTTCTGTTTCGCTGCTGTCAAGATATTTTTATGTTCTCTTTTCTTGAGGAGCTGCAGTCATTTAGAGTTGGTTGCTAGCCAGTGGTCTTTTAAATTGTAATAGAGGGACTGATGTTTCCATCTAGACATGAACATAGAGGTGTCTTGTAGAAAACTTTTGGGTTCTGAGAGGTAGTTTTTCAGCTGGCATCGTAAATGATTTGCATGTTTTCTTCAGTTGCTCATGCCCAAGAAATCAGATCCTGTCTGATCAGGTTCTTTTGTAGAAAATACCCTTTTTAGCCCCCAGCCATGATCACTGCCCTGGTATCTTGCTCATTATGTAGCTGACTCGGAAGGCAGTGCTGCTGGCCCAAATTGCTTACCAACTAATGCTTTGTTGTGCTGCGTGTACCTAGTTCCACTGAGCACTGAAAAGTGGTTGGGAAAGCGGTGCCAGCGCCTTGGTTTGTGCTCAATGGTTGCCCCTGCCGCAGTGCCAGTAACTGCTGTCTCCACAGGACCGCCTTGTTGCTCGGGAGGCTATTGTGCAACACAGTCTGTAAAGTATAAAATGGTGGCTGTGAAAAGTCAAGGGCGAGTGGTGTGTAATGGTCAGCTTTACTGACTTCTGCAACAATTCCCTAACGTTCAGGAACTACCGGCCAGGGCAGAAGGGCAGCTTTTATTCTGCACTGTGAGAAGGGGCCAGAGAACCTGTGTGATATGGACAGAGAAAGATTATTGTACTCAGATGATCTCATGCTGCTGTCTTTTCTTTCTACTTGGCCGTACATAGGGTACTATCAATAAACACAGTGGTATTTTGTAGCAGATTATGGTACCAAGATGTCACATTCTGGTCTGTCTTAAGACACTGTAGTTGTAGGAGATCAAAAGATGTTACGGTTAATGCTAGACTTCTAATGCTAGCTGCACTTTGTTTTTCAAAACTAGTGGACACCATTATAGCTCCTACTTGCAATTTGAATTTGAAAAGGTTGAATTTGCTATGATATTTGCAGAATCTGCCATTCTAAGTGTATGATCACTAAAATTGTCTATCATCCTTAACAGATCTGCTTACCTTTAACGTAGGTACATGCAGCATCTAAGGGGAGTGTTGGGAAGTGTTTTATTATTGTTACTATTAGCTGAGAAAAACAATGGGAAGCGTAAAGCTTTGTAGGTTTTTTAGTATGTAGCCATTGGCCTTTTGCACTGGGATAAGCCTCAGAGATTGTCTTGGCATAATTTAGGCCAAGAGAATAAAACTTAAGTGTCCTGAATTGTTTTTTCTGGACGGTCAGTGCTTAATGGGGGATCATTTCTATTTATTTCTATAGTCTATTAGATGTGAATTCCATAGAAACTGCCTATGATGGGGGATTTGATTTATGGGATAAAATCAGGGAAAAACAGTGTTTTTCAGCCCATCAGTGAGAAAGTTCTGTGCTGAAATCATCCTGTAGAGGAGAAATAGAAACCCGAAACAATAGATTCAGTTACAAAAGCAACAAAGCCAAAAACATAAATGTATAAGCCCCAACCCCTCCATAGTTCACAGTATTTTATTGCTATTCAGATTGGGAGGCTCGAATTGACAGCCACGGACGGATTTTTTATGTGGACCACGTGAACAGGACAACAACGTGGCAGCGACCCACAGCCCCCCCAGCCCCGCAGATTCTCCAGAGGTCAAATTCCATCCAGCAAATGGAACAGCTGAATCGCCGGTAAGATTTTCTATTGTTGCTTGTGAATTGTGTGGTTGTAAAACTATGTTCCCCATGGTGCAGTTGAGTATGAAGACTGGGTCCCAGTTGCTACTGCAGCTGGCCATATGTATTTTTGTGTCTGCCCCTTTTAGGTTGTGTGTTGGCTTCTAAAGTGTTCGTATTCCACCTGTGTTCAACAGCTACGTGACTAACAAAAACTGATAATGGTTGTCAGAAATTCAGACCACAAAAGGCTATTAATGCAGAAATTAGGGAGATTAATGTATATTAACCTATATGGGAAAAAAGATAGGCAAGCCTAACTTCATTATTAGAATCCCTTGGAGCCAGAACTGGATCATAAGTACTATGTACTAGATGTATAAAGTCCAGTCTTCTAACCCTAGGTACCAGAGCATCCGAAGAACAATGACTAACGACAGGCCTGAAGAGCACACAAATGCCATGGATGGAGCTGGAGAGGAAACGGACTTTCACCATGCTAATGCAGGTAAAAATAAAAATAAAAAAAGTCCCACTCTAAAAGGAGCACTCAGCTTGTGGATGATTTAATGAGAGGGATGTAAGGCAGAACCTACTTTCAGTCCCTGAAAATCCATATCACCGTTTATTTTCATTGCTGTCTAGCTTTTGGAGATTATGGCTGAGCCTGTTGGTCATGCTGAAGAGGTAAATGTGAGATTTGGAGCCTTTTTCTGTCAGAGTCTGATTTAGTAAAATATAGGCAGGACGGTTGCAGAGAGGGAGTATAAAAATTGCGTGGTCTGGGATACAAATGGTTTGAATCTACTGTTGCATTTCAGAATTGTAGAATATAGGACGAGAAGGGACTTTGGGCAGTCATCTGTTTTGTCTCCTTACTGAATGCGTGGTTCAGGTATAGCTCATCTTGGCAAATGTTGTCTAACCTGTCCTTAAATAGAAATCTTCTCTTATTTCTTTGTGCATCCAAGTGATTTTGCATTCTGTAACCCCACTAGGCAATCTGCTGTCCTTTTTCTTAAAAAGTATTCTTAAATCTATTACTTCCTGGTCTTTCCTCGTGCACTGTGTTTTTAGACCTCTGCTTTTTTGTTGATCTACCCGGGACTGTCTTCAATTAGTCCGAAAGCTCCTGAAAGATGTTTTGGAAAATTAAATAAAGCTACAACTGTATTGCATTGAGGAGACTGGAAATTTTACTTCGTATGTCTTATGTACAACGCTCGTTCTTACACATTCGTATATAGTTATTACTTTTTTCCTGATAGTTTGACACTAACCACAAGCGTTCAATCTTTGATCCAATGAAATCAGGCCCAGATCTTTTTTGTACAGATCTTCACCTTAGTTGTTTGTTTTTGATCTTGTGTTTATACAGTTGATTATCCCTACCTGCAGGCAGGTCTTTGCGCTTTTCTAATTTGTCACTATGGTTTTCAATGTTAATCCTACCCTCCAAGTGCTGCAGCTTCTTCTAGTTCGTACCGTCTGCACATTTTTTCTTCTTTATCCAGTGATTGATGAGAATACAGAAATCAGACCAGACCTAGACAGATCTCAGGGGAACATCATTTGATATGAGTTATTTCTGTTAAATAAAAAGGGTGTAACTACTCTTCAGTACAGTTTCACAAACTGCTGCATACCTCTCTCCGGGTAGTTTCATCTGTTTTCTCCTCCAGCATGATTATGAGAATATCAGGGAAAACAGCGTTAAGGGCCCTATTAATTCCAAAATGTATGGCCTTCTGATCACTCCCCACAGTAGAAGAGAATTATGTTAGTTTGCTATGATTTATTCATCATAAAACCCAAATATTTTTGTTTTTTGACCTTTCTGTCTTCTAAGTGCATTAAAGAGTTTGATGATTTGTTCATGTGTCTGTGTGGGAGTAGAAGATATGCTGACTTGTCTTTAGTTTCCTTCATCTTTTTTTTAACCTATTCTTAAAGATAGATGTAGTATTTATCTTGTTTCTGGTCTTCTGAGAGCTCCGTCAGATTTCAGAAGTAACCACTGATTTCTCTGAGATTGCTTTGCCTAGTTTCGTAAGTATTCTAGAGTATACTTCATCAGGCCCAAAGGGTTTGAAAATCTCTCATTTACACAACAATCTTTAACTTGCTCTTTACTTGTTCTAGGCCTGAGTTCTTCTCTTTCTCCTGCTGTTATTTAGTTGTTCTGGTTGTCTGATCAGTGTTAACCTTTTGAATGAAGATTGAAGGGTAAAAAAAAAAAAAATCTTCTTTTTTCTTTTTTATTAAATGAGTTCAGCCTCATTACTACTTTTCTCTCTCACTAAGCAGTTCTTTCGTTGGTCATCTTCCTACTACTAACTTACTAATACATTTATAAAGGAAATTTGTTACCCATCCAGTTCTTTGCATAGTTGTCTCTTTCTGCACTTTGACTTTGTCTCCAGGTTCTCTTGATATTCTCTTATAATCCTCTTTCCTAAGTTAACCTCATACCCATGCGATGCTGCTCTTTCTTGAGCTTCGAGTCATTGAAGGACTTGCGATTTAGCTAAGTGTCCCTTTTATACTTCCTTTCTACCTTAGCCGCCGCCTTTTTGTGTGTGTGTACTTGTCTGGGCCTGTGCAGAAGCAGCTGGATGGCTGGTTGTGCTCTTAAATCAGTTTAAAGCAAATTCAAACTAAACCCTAATCAGCAATTTCAGCTGAATAAGGCTTTCGTAAATTTAATTCAGAAGCCTCTAAGCTGCCGGACAAACCCATCTGAAGACATCCTCTGGTTTCCAGGTTACCCAGACACTGACAGTAGACCGTATCTGCAGCATGCCACAGCTTCTTTCCAAAGCAGGGCGTGAGAAGTGAGCGATATACACCCTAGTCTTTTACCAATATAGAGTCGGAATGCAGCTGCAACGCATGCCTGGTCCTGGGAGCTGCAAGACACTCCCGGCCCGAGAATTCAGGCATAGCTTCAGGGCTCTTTATGCTACATTGCTGTCACTCCAGAGACATGCCGCCTATGGGAGATTTTGGGCCTGTATCGTATGAGAAGTGACTCTAAAAATCCTCTTTTTCAATTACTGTTCCTCTTCTTATTACTGTTCCATTTTCTGGTTTCATTTAATGCTTAGAATGTCATTCATCTCAAATAGCATACTTATTTCCCTCACCCCTCTTTTTTTCTATAAACTTTACCAATCTGTATTTAACATTTCACTCTTCTTTCTGTGTTTTCCTCCTCTTCTTTTTTTTTTTCTTTTTGATTCTCTCTTTTTCCGTCAGGTTAGAGATTAATTCAGTCTCTTTCCTTCCTCTTTCTCTGCCTGTGGATTATTGTTTTGTTGTGTCCGTAGTAGCTGTGTTCTGCATGGTTAATGCTCATTTGAGATTAATTAGTAGACTCTTCTATGTTGATGGAGAAGCATGCAAATACTGTGATATGTAAAAGGCAGAAATGAAATGTATGAAATGTATGAAGATGGTGTGCATTTTAGAGTAAAATCACTGCAGACCTAGTCTGAATTTACAAATTTTCATTTACTTTAAAAGATGCATCCAAATATCCTGTATGTTTTCATAGTTCCATATATTATGCTTAATATCTTTCGATTCCTGATTCTATTGAAAAATCAATGCCCTTCAATAGTTGCTAAGAGAGGACCCAAATACTTACTGAAAGTTGAAACAGAGCAGTACTCCTTGGCAACCCTTTTCTTACTTGTGTAAGCTGCTTAAATACTGTATCAGGATCAGGGCTGTGTTGCTAGCAGTGATTTGCCTTTCTTAAGAGGAGGAATGAAACATTTTAAAATGTGCGGTGACTTCTACGTGCATTGGTCAGCATTTAAAAAAAAATACTATTGTCTGTGTACAGCTGCAGTACAGCAAGTACAGAGTTGCCACAGGGGCCTTCTGACATTCTGTACACGGGCATGTGCTTGGTATCCCAAGTAATTAGGAATTAATTTATTTTTAGTGATGGAAGACCAAAAGCAATGAATAAATGTTGTTATACTCATGAATCCTGATATTTCCAGGAACTTCAGTGCGGTGCTAGAAGAATTTCCAATACACTTCTGGAGAATACTTAATAAGCCTGATATAAATGTCTACCCAGGGGTTTTCTTGCTTGTATGATTGAAATCAATATAGTTGTTTGCAGTGATGTTTTGTTAATGCTTATTACTAGACGTCTTTGTCATTCACTTTGCTGTTAGATTTTCGAAGAGAGAATGTGCTGCCTCACTCTACCTCCAGGTCCAGACTTACTTTATTGCTCCAGTCTCCCCCCGTGAAATTCCTTATCAGCCCAGAGTTCTTTACAGTGCTGCATTCTAACCCTGTGAGTACAGTGCGCACAGATGAGAGGCTTTCTCAAATATATACGTGTATGTGTATATATATATAGAGAGAGAGAGAGGTGTGTGTGAATCTGAGTGTATTTATAAATATGGATGTCTTATATACGAAGATGTTTCTCTGTGTTTTGTACTAAGATATTTGGTGGTACCTAGGGAGGCTGGATGAATTCAAATGCTCATCAGCATTCCTTACAGTTGATGGACCATCAGAGATATCCTGGTTGATGTTACAGCTTCCTACAGTTTTTATTCTTGACTCAGCTCTTCATCTTTCTTACGATACTGCACTCATCTGTTTCTTGAAGGAATGGGTTTCTTAACTGTCTGCTGCAGAGGGTCAGGGACGATTCTGAAAATGAAGATGATGGCTATTTTTTAAGGTCACTTTGCTGCTCATGCAATGATTTGTACCCCCAAATTTGCCTGTTTTATATCTAAGTGCATTAGAGAGATCGTTGAATAAAAAGATACCTTAATATTTATTTTCCTTTTCTGTTTTCCCTGTTCTTTAGTCTTCCTTCCTACATAGTTATTTGTTTCAATGTCTATTTTCCTCTGCATAGCAGGGTTTACAGTGTAAAAAGTAGTAGTGAAATGAATAATATGTTGTCTGCAAGCACACTTGTTAATAATTCACTGTTCTTCAAACTACTGGTCACTGGTAGTTTAGTTTTGAGATATATGTATATGCTTGTGTGTTTCTGAATAATTCTACTTGGCCTGTACAGCTTTATCTTTAATACCTGAAATAATGCAGAAGTAGATAAGACCTCTAGGAGGAGAGGTGAGGGCACAGAGAGAATGTTTTAAATAGCAGCACAGCGCAATCGGTGGGCCCATGTCTTCATTCCTGTCAAGACTCTATTACTGATCCTGAGACAAAGACCTGGGTTTTGGTTGGCTGTGTGTGTGGGTTTTTTTTGGTTTTTTTTTGAGGAGATTAGTTTCCCTTTCTATTTAAAGTTTTCCCTATTCCTCTGTGCTCTCCTTTTACTCTCTTATTGTAATTTTATTAGATAAGTTACAAGTGGACATGCAGTGATAATTTTTTTGAGAAATCAATGGGTGGAAACAATATTTATGCAGATATTTTGATGAGTTTGATAAGCACATATATGTGCGAGGAAAAAACACTTAGCAGCTTTTTTTGCTGTGTTCCATGACTCGTTATTCCAGTAACTAGAAAATAGCTGTGAAATCTCTATGTTTTAAGCAATTTTAATGCTATAAGGTGCTTCACAGGTCCAGTGACAAGAGCGTGGTAAATAGAATCTGGAACGATATGTTGCAAACTTTGTTGAAGTGGTTCAGTAATGGGAGTATATCTCAAGCCAAAAAAAAAAAAAAAAAAAAGCACTCATTCCAAAACCTCTGCTTGAGGCCACTATTTTTCATACTGCTGTGGTTTCGCTGAAAGTTATTTTTAAGGTTTTATAGCTAATTAGGTCATTTTTTAACGTTGCAAAGATTGCCTTTTGTAGTAACAAGAATGGAAGATTCCTTTTAATGCAAAATAGGTCTGAAAGCATAAAGTATAATGGGAGGAATTTATTCAGAAAGTGCTTGTTTTCTCATTATTCACCTAACTCTCTATTTATCTACTTATCAGTGCCCCAGATCAGGATATCAGTAAAACACGTGCATCATTTTAAAATGTGGGCTGCCCTATTGACTTCAGCACAACTATTTCTGGCTAAAATTCAGCACCTTCCAAATTCATTGGGTATCTTTTTGTTGCTGTGGTCATATTGATCACTCCCAGTTTCCTGTTTTACTGCTTTCCTTGAATGGGACTTAAATTATTATCTGTTTATCAGAACATGTGGAAATTATTATCTATTCACCAGAATGCGTTCCATCACATAGATGGAACTGCTGGGCTGATAGCTTTTTTATGTCGTAATGTATCTTGTAAAATTATTTACTTTTATTATGGATTTTTCAGAGTGCCTACCGCATGTTTACAAATAACACGTGTTTGAAGCACATGATCACCAAAGTCCGGCGGGACACCCACCATTTTGAACGCTACCAGCATAATCGTGATTTGGTGGGCTTCCTCAACATGTTTGCTAACAAGCAGCTGGAGCTGCCAAGAGGCTGGGAAATGAAACATGACCATCAGGGCAAGGTAACTGGAATAGAGGTGCAGCTCTTACTTCAGTATCTGATCTTGAATATTGCAATGTCAGAACTGAGTTGGTTGCTGTCAGCAAGAGCATAAGTGCATGTAGTTCTCCAAATGCGAAAGGTAACACATCCTGTTCTCCTTCCTTTGTCCAGTGAAGAATGGGATTTCTCATCTGTGCCAATGGGGCGTTACCTGAAAGAGGAAGTGGACTTACATATTAAACATTACAAGGGAAATTGCCAGAAAATCTGTACCCTTTTTACTGTGAAATAAAGCACAGTGCCGTGTCCTTGGAAGAGGACACACGCATACTGTGTCCGTGTGCTTGGAAGAGAATTTAGATGTAAAGTTACTGAAGTCTTTACTATAGAATTTTGTTTAGATGTTGTTGAGCACTTTGCTTCCTGTTTAACTATTGAGCTTTTCCTTAGAGCCTTTTTTTTTTTCTTTTCCCTTTTCAACCTCTTGAGTGGAATTTATTAGCATGGCTTTGCTTTTTTTTTTTTTTTTTCTTTAATAGCTACCAGTTTTCCCAGGTGAGTCCTCCTCTGAATGTTAAGTACTTTATCAGCTTCTGAGATAAAATGGGTGCACTCAGATTGAGATAGCTCTAGGGATGGCGGCTTTGCTTATGTACTGGTTAACAGGAAAGAAATTGTGTGTAGCAAGTGTCATTCAATAGTAAGGATCTTGAATAGCTGCAAGCCCTATTGTCTTTCAGAACAGATACTTATAGATCACTTTACAAGTTCTAGGAAAATATTTTAAAATAAAATGGCATTAACTGACAAATTAAGTTTTACTTTGGGAATGTAATTTTAATGCAACTTTAAACTAATGTAATTTGCTATCATCTGGACTATGATTTTCTTTGCAGAAAATAGGAAGGTTAAAAATAGACTGTGATTAGCATGTGAGGAAGAGCTAAGGCTATCAGTTTGTGTGAGAAGTCCTAATTAAGACTTTAGGCACATTAAGCTTATCAGTTCTTATGTTTATCAGTCCTGACACACATAGCTGTGAATGTTTGTATAAATAATGATCTTGATGCCTGAGAAGATTATGGACAGATTCTAAACTGAAGGCTAGAAAACGTGCTTGAGGGTTGTTTTCTTGTTGGATTTATTAACTTTGGAAAGCATAGTGTTTTTTCATTGTAAACAAGATCAGGGGTATGCAATTATAGTAACCTTGTTATTTGCCTCCCTCACTCCTTTCTATTCTAAATTGTCCTTTTCTCTTGCATTCTGCCGGGCCTGGTTTTCTCCTGAAGAATACAGTGATTTCAATTGACTTTAATAGGTGCTCCATAGGGAGAATTAGACCTCTAGATTTCTGGTGTGCTGTTTGGTAACAGTTATGTTACAACCAAAAGGAAGCGCTGACCAAATCCCCTTGGGATTTCTTCACTTTCAGTTAGGCGCAGTATTGTTCATTCTCATTATGTTGAATTGTCTTTCTCAAAAACAGCACTTGTGACCGGTAGAAAAGCTTATTCAACACACAGGAAAGAGAGTGGCCAGTAAACGATGAGGCCAGTGCTTGATGAGACCAAACCAAAAGTGAACCTGCCGTTATCAAAGCGTAGGCTAAAAAGAGGCAAGTAAAAATGAGCTGTGCCACAATATAATTGTATCTCCTGTCCTGCACTACTGAGGCAAGGTTGTCAGTTACTTTTCTGAGTTTATTGTAGTAGGATATCCTTGCTCTTGCTCACAGGGAACAGTGATTGTCCTGACCCTTATGCAGTACTGAGAAGCAGTCAAGTCTATGAGTTTTCATCTGCCTTTTTCTTTAAATACTAGCTACAGTAACTATTAAAAGCAGCACATCTCTTCTCTATGTGGTTTACTATAAACTATACTTCAATTATTGAATTTTTTTTTGGTAGAAATGGAAATTCCTGGCTCTGAATCAAGGGTGAGGAATTTTTTGCTTGGGATACATACTTTTATGCCTCTTCCTTATCAAACTATTAAATGTACATCTTATCAAAAGATATATGAACTAATTATGTGTCAGTCGCATCTTATCATGTGATGTTTTGATCACTTAGTGGTATGAGTTTTTTTCTGAAGCCACGGAATGCTTTAAGTATCTGGTTCCTGAACGTGATCCTCCCCAGTGTCCAGACCGTTCTGGTAGCTTGTACTCTTTGCAGGCTGTTTTCCCTGCTCAGCTGGGGACTGCCTACCTCTGAACACCCTTCAAAGCTGCATAGCAAAGGCCAGTTGCTCGCTGTTCTTTGTAGGAATTATGAGAAGAATTTTTTTGAAAGCAGGCTGAGGTACACTGTATTTCCAGCTGTGTCTCAGTGTCCGGATTAGCCCAAAGCCTTGAAGCTCCAATCATTATCTTCAGTGAAGTTTCAAAACAGTAATCTATGCTTTATTTTAAAGTATTCTGCTACCGGCTGGCCTTCAGGCATTCATGTTTAATAAGACAGGGTTGTCTTTAACTTAATTTTTAAGCTTAGTTGTTTGTTTAACTGTAAAGCCAAAGAGCACTACATGCAGTATTAAACTGGTGCACTGACTCAAAGAACTGCGTAATGCAACTCTTAAGTATTCCCTTTTCTCTGTTGAATCATTCTTTTTATTTATTGATAATTTTTTCCTGAATAATTTATCTATATAATGGTGACTTAATGAAATCAACCTTTCTTTTGATGAAAGTTCTTCACTTCTTGTAAACATAGGTAGACCAGACTAGATCAAGTAGATATAGGAACTTAGAAAACATGCTGACTGCTTGCTCACGAGTGAAATAAACCTATTAAACAGGAGCAAAAATTTCAGCAAGCCTGGATCCATTCTAGCAGCTTCTTCCAGCCATTGGCAAGGTCCCAAATTGAAATTTCAAAACGACTTTCATTCTGCTTTCCCATTCTCTAACATGTATACTTGTGCTGCAGGTGGCATCATTACTTGTCAAGGTGATCATGTCCTGCATCAGGCTCAAACATTGCAATTAAAATTGCAGTTATTGAATGCACTTTATGGTTTATGAACTGTGAAACATTCCCCTTCACTTACATATCTAGTATTTCAGCAGAACCTAACACAGAGTTCCTCCTTTTCAGGTCAGGTAACGTGGGCCTCGACTGTACGCGCATGTTACGGTGGACAGCTCTTAGTGCTGCTTAGTGCTACAGGAGGCTCACTGCCCTCCCTGTCCTCGAGTTTTCCTAAGGCTTTGCAGCTTTGGTATCCCTTCTGCCTCCCCGCCAGGCACCTGCCACAGTTTGCAGCTCCATATGCTTCTCCTTCTTTGGGAGATGGAAATGTTAACGTTTTCTCCCACCACAATCGATAATGATGTTTAGTTGCTTTGTAGGGTGACACACTGGTCTGTCTCCCTACCTTCACAGCGGTCAGCAGAGTTCCATTGTCTCTGATCGCATGGTCCAGCTCTAGCAAGCCGTCTGAAACAATGGTTTCATGCGTGCTATAAGCTGGCACCGCTGCTAGGAGAGCCGGTTCTGCTCTTCTCTTGTCCCTGATGGGCTGCCTGAGGTCGGAGGAACAAAAAAGGAAACAGACAAAAAAAAGAGTAATTTTAGCCTGGACCGGTTCCCCCGCTGAGTTCCCTGCATGGCTGCACAAACGCTTGTGCCAGTGCAAGACAGGAAAGGGGGGCACAAGGGATGAAACAAGTGGTCAGGCTCGGGGGAGATGAGGTTATTTCTTTTGCTGACACTACAGGACTAAGTTGTTTATGAAACCGTGGTCCAAGTACCTCAGTAGTATCAAAACATAGAAATGACTCCAGAGTCCCCAACAACCTCTCTGCTGGTCCAGCTTCTTCCGATTCCTCAAACCAGATGTTGCTTTCCCGTAACTTTCCTACTCAAAACCTGGAACTTTTTTGCCTCTTCCAATGTTTCCAGCATTGTGACTGAAAAAACGAAGGTGTGTTAAAATAGAAAGGAACTGGTTTCCAAGTACAACGCTAGCACTGAAGCAAATTTAAATCTCAGAGCTTAGAATGTTTTTTGGTTCAAATTGGACTGAAATGTATGAGGTTTCCAATTTTCAGGATATATTGTCCCATGACCTTGCTTTCAGCAAATGGCTGACCAGCCAGTATGTGACAGATCTCACCGAAGAACCCAATTGTCTGCTTTAAATGTTTTTGTTGCCATCTTCTTTGTGTCCCAAATGGGCTGTTTTTTAGGTTAATGAACTTGAGTTGTTATCAGGAGGATGATTAAAATGCCTTTCAGCCTGTAATTGTGGTATGTCACAGAATGCAATCGTATGCTTGGCATACACACCCAATTGTGTTCATAGTTATACAGTAAGTACTTTACAGAGGGGAATGTTTTTGCCACTAAGAGAGATCTTTTTAGATATTTTTCAGGAAATGCACAGGACAAAACACCAGGATGACTGTTATTAAACGTTAAAGTCTTCTCCTCTTGACAGTCGTAATAGAACGTCCTACTTCTGCTGCTTGTCATCTAAGAATTTCAAAGTGCTTTGTAGACGTGAATGAAGTGAGGCGTTAAAGACGTTGTCCCTCCAGTGAGATGGAAAAATGTTTTCCCTATTCTGCCAAAGGGAAATGTGAGCCATGGTAATGTGAAAAGATTCCCAAAATCTCACATCAGTGACTGAAACCTGGATTCTGAATATACGTAAAGCTCAGACACATGCTCTAGGGTGGTTCAGTAGTTTTGTGTCATCAAGTATTGACTACGAATTCTCTCTTCATTCTCTTTCTCTAGGCTTTCTTTGTTGACCACAATTCCCGCACCACCACATTCATTGACCCCCGGCTTCCCTTGCAGAGCAGCAGGCCCACTAGCGCATTAGTCCATCGGCAGCACTTAACTAGACAACGCAGCCACAGTGCTGGTGAGGTAAGTTTGATCTGCCCCTTTGCTGCTGGAACCACCTGGTTTGTACAATTATCCTGTTTCACATTATTCCATTCCATTATTCCCATTTTGTTATGTTGTGAGGAGTATGATCGTTCTGTAAGTGTATGGTACTCACACATGAATATTCATGCTTTATTATTTGCTAGCTAGCCAGGAACCTTACTGCTTTTTTTGAAAGATATGATTTGAGGAAAAAAAGATACTGGGCAGGAATTTCTCCTACTGTTAATTTGCAGTAGCCCCATTTAACCACAGGAGAGCATCTGATTACAGATTACAACCGTCTGTATCCTGTTTTCCAGTGTCAAAATACTTATTATTGACTAGCATGATGTCTGCCAAGTATGTTGATAGAATTCTGCAAACAAGAGTGTGTGCATATATACATCTAGATGTGTAACTTTCTGAAAAAATATAAAAAAAGTTACCACATATAACAAATACTCACACTGTTGTATGTATGTACATATGTACATACTTACATCTGTATTTTCTGAATGGACA